AGCGTAGTCAGCCTCAAAGAAGTTCAGGTGGTGCTTAAAGCGCCATATTAGGTTTTAACAGACTAAACCCAAAATAAGATATTTGAAGATACACTAGCTTTAGAAAAGATGAGAAGATCTGGGGAGCATGGTATATAGAGGTATATAGAGACCTAAGACTTGAAGAGAAGAGGGACCGTGTGCCCACTCCAGTCACTCAGGAGCAATAAGTTTCTCAATACCTGTTGATGTTGTATGACTAATACAACACCTGTTGTTAGCTCTTCGAAGAAGATGAATAATATAAACAAGAATCTTGTAATACAAGAGCCTGTAGAATCAATTAACTCTTGGCAATGAAGAGCAACAATAGCCCATATGAAAGTGCCAGTCGCTGAGGCCCCAGAAGGTCTCAAAGAATTAGTAAACCAATTTTTCTGATGACTATGATGTCTATGTTAGTAAAGAAATTTAAATAAAGGGTGATCCCACCTCATTTGAAGAAGCCATGAGAAGCATTTACTCGTTTAAATGGCAAGAAGCTGTGAAAGTTCAAATGAATTCGATGAATACCAACGATGTTTGGGACTTAGAAGTAATTTCTAATGGAGCCAAAATAGTAGGCTGTTAATGGGTCTATAAGACAAAATGTGACTCTGAAGGGAATGTAGAAAGATATAAAGCACGACTTGTAGCAAATATGCTTTACGCAAAGAGAATGAATAGATTACAATAAAAGTTTTCTCTACAGTCTCATGCAAGGATTCTTTTAGAATCATAATGGTGTTAATGGCACATTACGATTTAGAGTTACATCAGATGGATGTAAAGACGACATTCCTCAATGGGGATTTGTATGAAAAGTTTTACATGGCACAACCCAAAGATTTTGTCATGGAAGAAAAGAACGTATGGGATGCCGCCTGTAGAAATCCATTTATGGGTTAAAATAAGTCTTTAGACAGTAGTATTTGAAGTTGATAAAACGATAAGAAAGTTTAGGTTTTAAATAAAATAAGAAGGACAATAGCGTTTATGCGAAGATCAAGAATGGAAAATTTATTTTCCATATCCTGTGAATAGATGACATTCTACTCACGAGTAGTGATGTTAATATGTCATTATAGAAGAAGAAGTTTTATCCTTAAGTTTCAATGTGAATGATCTTGATAAAACGTCATTGGTTATAGGAATCGAAATTCACTGAGATAAAAGAAAAAATAGGGTATTAGGACTATCGCAAAGGTATACTTAGAAAAGATTCTAAAGAAATAAAGTATGCATGCGAGTAAACATACGCCTGCTCCTATAGTTAAGGGTAATAGTTTTGGAAACTTTAAGTGTTTCAGAAACCGATATGAGATCGATCAAATAAACATGGTTCCATATGCTTCAGCTTTTGGAAGCTTGATGAGTGTACAAGTAGATATAGATCACTGGAATGGAGATGAGAATGTCTTGCAATTTTGCAAAGTATCATAGGCCTCATGCTGAGTAAGATGGACAAGTACTCTCAAATAGTTGAGGGTACAAGTAAAATACACAGTAGTTGCAAACACTCGCAGTTGGAATATTATTGTGGAAAAGCTCTAAAGAAACAGTTGTGGTGTCATCAGTGATGCATACCATAGTATAGCTTGACATGAGGCTTAAGCAACAGACAATAGGAGGTTAAGGAAATTTGTACCCGGATTTAACAATGGTAGACAACAACAATAACCATTTAAAGTAAGTTAACTCCTAAGACAAAAAGGTTAAGTGTGCTGCCAAACACATTGACACTAAGTTATATGTTGTAAAGGAGAAAATCCAGAATCATTTTAAAAGCATTGAGTATATAAGTACCAAGCAAGTACTTATGGATCCGCTTACCAAAGGCTTACCACTCAGTGTGTTCAGAGAACATACAGTCGACATGGGTTTATGGAAAAGCCTATGATTTCTAGATACTAAAGGCCTAGTTGAGTATCTGTTTCAAAATAGATAGGTGCATTGTAGCTGTTAAATCTAATGATAACTGATCGTGACGATGAGGCACGCTCTATACACTGATCTGTGATGGAATGGAAAAAAAAAGAAGTTAAGTTTAAGTCATAAGGTGAGATCAAGGGGAAAAATGTTAGGTTGATCTCCACCAACGGCCAATTGGGCCCTTGATCCGTGTCCTGATCGGGGATGCTCAGCCTTTCTACTGGCTGACGGGCCCCCGTCGCGCAGCGCTATAAAAGGATGGTGAGGGCTAGGGCACAAGCTACGAGGTTAGCAGTAGCCGCTAGTTCCCCACCGTTTCTAACACTAGTCCGATCTAAAGGGGCGTTGTAAGCGACGGGAAGCGCCATCGCCTTCGACCGCCGTCACTGCACCGCGCCTGCACTGCTACGACACCGGCGGCCACGTCGCTGCGGCGCCATGGCCGCAACTACCCTACGACGAGGTACATCACCAAGTCCATCTAAGCTAAGCATTACCCACTGATCTACGTCTAAAAGTGCTTTTCAGTTCTATGAGAAGATCTTCATGGATACGACTAGGCTGATTGCGGAGCACACTGATGATCTGGTTGGTGAGATCTGCAATTACATAAAAGCATGGCAAACTTCTCCAGACTGCAGTCTTGCTCCTGGCAGCTCAAGAGCATCTCCGGGGTGGTTGTTCCTGTTCCTGCAAAAAGAATAGTATCACCAGTAAACAAGATGGGTTTGGTGATATCATTAAATTCATCGCCAAGCACAGCGGCGCCATTAAACTGAATGCTAATGGAAAGGAGGACGAGGCGCATCTCAGGGAGAACTATATTTCATCGACATTGTGGATTGTTCAAGTAATGTCCAGTGCTGGTAAAGCTCTCAGTCAATACATTCAAAGGTGCCACCGCCACGTATGGTGGTCCTTGAACGTATTTCGTCGATTCTCAAGTTTTATAAAATTCAGGGGCTCTAGCGCCGCCCCCGGCCACTAGACCCATGGAGCCCCCCTTAGTCCCCCTAGAAATTTCTGCCATAGATGCACTTTGAGGAGAGGATGAAGCTGTCTAGAGGTTGAAGAAGCTCTTCTAAATATTTTCCTAGATCCGTCCCTGGAAATACTATTGCTGTTGCTAGCAAGGATGATACTAATAATCTGCGTGCTGGAAAGGCGGTGAGAAAGAAGAAACTACCTAGGCATCTGGATCTCCAATACAAAAGGAGAAGTTTCTTCCCATTTTGGCGCTCGGCGTTAACTTACGGGTTCCCTGTGAAGGTCTATCCGTCCTGGTCATATGATGACTGAGACCATTCATGTTTCAGAGAGAATCCGGGGGGGCGGTGGGGGGAAGGATTTTCGACACCTCCAAGTCATAATGTTGACCTTTTGGCAAGCATGCGGCAACCCACAAGCAATTATCAATCCAAGAGGCAATTTGGTACTGCGGCTGTATTAATAAATAATTATCAACCAAAAAGGCTATTTCTATTTGGTAGTGCTGCCGCATTGGCGTTCTTCAAGGTCTTGAAAGTTGAAACAAGCATGAATGAAAAGGTGCCGAGCAAGTTGTCCTATCGATCACTGTTTTCTTCAAGTTGTTTGCATTGCTGGTGCATGATTATCGTTTTGCGCCTGGTGATTATGTTAGAAATGATGGTGCCTAACCTTATTCTTGTGACAGACTGCCTACCTACTTAGTATTTTGTTAATAATCGGCTTGTTCGCTGGTTGATTTCTAGGCTGATAAGACCGGCTGGTGCTGGTTTATTGTGAGAGAAAAACACTGTTGGCTGACTGATAAGTCATGGCTAAAACTAACGAGCGAACAGGCTAAATGGCCACGGTGTAGGTCGAACCTTGGAGCGCCGTGCTTGAATTCTGCTACCACGCTAAAAATGCAGCTGAACTAGTATGTATCATGCTTGATATTGAGCTGAGAATTGAATAGTTTCTCAGTTCTTTTCGTGATATATACTACTCCCTCCATTCCAAATTATAATACGTTTTGACTTTTATAAATTCATCAATTTTATTATGTATCTAGACATAAGTGTATATCTAGATATATTGCAAAATCTATGTATTTAGGAATATCAAAACGTCTTATAATTTGAAATGGAGGGAGTACTTGTTATGTCTATGGCCTTGGCATGCCAGAATGCTGCTTATACCCTACCATTAACGCGTGGGGTCTTGCTAAACGAACCCATCTTACCTGTTAAACATGAAAATGTGGGACGCCACTCCGAAAGATTCTCCCTTTTTTCTTTTTTATTAGAAAGAAAAAAATATGGCCACTTTGCCGATTGCTATTTTTTATATAAAAAAAGGTCTGATCTGGTATATTGCACTCCAATATTTCTTTCTATTTCCATCACCATCAAATCTTTTTACGCCTTGACCGCAAATGTTATTATAATATTTATAGAGAAGAGAAGGGATGGATGATATTTTGGCACGTTTTTATTGCTTAGTCCAAGAAAATATTGTTCCATGGGGGGAGACAATAAATTTGAGATATCCAAATATCTCTTTGAGAAAATATCAAGGATTTTATTTGTCATTTAAGCCATGTTTTAGTCATGGACTAAGGAGAGACTGGGTTGGATCTAAACTATTGGGTTTCAATTCATCAATATGAAGAAGTTGGAGGTCAAACATACATGTTTATGGATGTAAATAATATATTTGAACAATGAACCTGCTGTAGCTACACAAGTATATCTATACTATAAAGAAGTGAAGGAATTGAAAAATGTTTTACACCTGATTTAAGTGTTAACTGTGGGCCCCCTTCGCCTTTTTTTTCACCATCCACGATCCTTTCCTTACCGGCCCGCCTGTACCCGCTTTTTCTTCGCGCCGCCCCTCTCTCCAACCGTCCCCGTCCCAAACAGTCGTCACTCCGTCCCAATCCGCGCCGCCGCCCCGATCCAGGCCCCGCGAGCAACGGATGACGCGGGGAATCAGCGCCCTCGCCGAGCACGCGCACAGCGACGGTCGCCAAGCCGCCGCCCCGACCCAGGCCCCCGCGATCAACGGTCGCGCGGCAACGGATGACGCGGGGAATCAGCGCCCTCGCCGAGCACACACGCAGTGACAGAGGCATGTCCGGGATCGGTAGGTTGGTACTTTTCCTCTCTCTCGATTTGGTGGGGGGTCTTTATCTTTGGTGTTTCGATTTCATCCCTTTTGCAGCCCAGCTGGATGTGCTGTTCGGTTGATGGAATTCGATGAATAGGGTTTCGTTCTTTTTGAGGAAGAGTCTATCTCTTATTCTGGTGGCTTCAAATAGATTTATTTGCTGCTATTATTTTTTTCTTATTTGTTAGTTCCTTTTCTCTGATTCTGCTTGATCTGTGTTTGGCTGCAGACAACGCTGGTGGTACAAACAAGGCGGCTTCCAGTGGCACATCCCTGATCCCTCAACACCGAGCGCCAGACTCAGGCGAGTTCATCACGAGAAGATATAGGGGATGAGACACACCCAAGCCATGCGGTCCATGGTGTCCATGAGGACTTGGGGCCGCAAGTTAAGAGCAGGTCAGGTTTAGTTTTCATTTTTTTATGTTGATCTTCTGTTATTCTAAGTCTGGAAGCAACATAGCAGAGAGATTCGATTGATTTGACTTTACTTGTATATGATTTTAGTTAACGGTTAAGCAATAAAGTTAATGTCCATGTGAAGACATGCGGCCATAAGTTAAAGTAGGTCAGGTTTAGTTTTCATTTTTTTATGTTGATCTTCTGTTATTCTAAGTCTGGAAGCAACATAGCAGAGATATTCAATTGATTTGACTTCACTTGTATATGATTTTAGTTCTAACAGTTTGGATCTTAAGCCAATTGAGTGAATGGCGTAAAAGCCCATGATAATTATTAATTTGTATACTTGTATGCTAGCATGGTATCCTTGAGCACTGCAATTTATTTGTATTAATTAAAAAATCACATCTAATTCGCAATATTGGTCCGTACTCCGTACATTCTTTTTGGCATCTGACCTGGGCACATTCAAGGGACCTGAACTGACTATGATTATTCTTTAGACATGCGAGTATTGGCTGGTAAAAATGCTGTCCTTATGTCAATACTATTGGACACAATGGCCATTGGCATCGTCAGTTCCTCAGTTGTTTGGAAGTCATTTTTTTACCTATATGTTTGCTGACTGATGGTTGCAGATATTTTGCAGGGAACCATTCTTTTATGGCCATGACAACCATGACCAACTTGTGAAGATTGCAAAGGTAACCGTTAGTTTGATTGTTCATTCCACATGATTCTGGGATAAAGTAGATGTTTTGGTATGAACCTTTTAGCATGCAACTCTTGAATTGACTCTTGGTTGAGAACAAAGAAGGGTTCAAATTATGAATTTGTCTTCTTTGATGTTACACCCTGTTGTTTTGCTATTATAATATAATTATCAACGGTTTCTTAGAAGTTGATATTCTATAAGACAGTACGTATATATATGATCCCTTTTTTATTTTAACCTGAAACTGCACCACAGTAAAGCAACAGAATGGTGTACTTTGTTCGGTCTGTTTGCAGGTTTATGTGTCTTGTATGTGATTTATATGATATAATTATCCATACCATAGTTGGATCAAGCTTAAAGAACAACCAGCCATCATACATATATGAGTACAATCCCTCTCTATCTCAGCATGAAACATGTATTGTTTGTTGCCGATAGCATTTACCTGATTTTAATCACTGTCAAACTTTAAACTTTGAAATTAAACTCACTACCCAGTCAGATCTGCATGTCCATTAAACTCACTACCCAGTCAAGTCTGCATGTCTAAAGCAAGTCAGTAACTTGTCTCTTGTTTCCTTTAGCCTTTGTAATACAATATGGACTCCTTTGCACCAGAACTTAAAATTGCAAAACTATAATGTTAAAATATTGTACCTCATGCTTAAGCACTACTAAGCATCTGCCTGAGGTCATGATAGCAAGTCACTGGTTTGTGTGTACTTAGACTACAAACTAAAAAATCCACAGGAAGATCTAAAGAGCTTAACATGCCTGTTACGTTTATTCGATGCATATCTGATATGCTATAAGTATGAGACATTAAACACATGATGGTGCGGTGCATAATCTAATTCTGTCACCTTACAGCACCTACATAGCTAATAAAACAAATTAAATAGCATTCATTCCTGCATAAAGATGTTATAAGCAACAAATCTTAGTTAGATAACCTCTTGATGATATTTCTATAAAGGATGGGGCATGGTGGTTATATTTTATTTCAGTTGTAAGCTCTGTTTAGTATATTAAGCCAACTGACCATTTGTGAATCTGTTTGGCTTTGTCTTGCACTTTATGACCTGTTCAATGTATGGAGTGTTCAGTTCCTTCTCTTCAGGTTCAGGGAAGGGGTGATGATGAGGGGAAGGGGTGCTGATGAGGGTCCAGCCATGCTGTGGCTGCCATACAGGCTGTTGTTTGTCGCGGGGATGGCCGTGCTTATGGCCACGGGTTGGTATGCGCTAGATCATGAGGGGAGGATATGTGATATACATTGCTATTTGAAAATGAATGCATCAAAGTATGGTTGTATAGATTGTTGTACGACAATGTATTTTTTCTATATACAATTGTATATATATGATAGGAATTGAGGTGTTAAAAAATCATCGTTAATTATCTATTGTGTATAATATTTTTTATAAACACATGTGATGGCCGCGTCCTTGCTAAAGCTCGCCATGGGTATGGCACCCTTGGTCGCCGCTGCCTCCGACGACGTCGATAGGGGCACAACGTCCCCGTGGAGGCGAAGGGCTCCGAGGCATGCATCCAGGACCAGGGCATTAAGATCTGCCACAAAAGTTTGGTTTTTTATGGGATTATTAGTTGTGATTGTGATAAAGATCTGTGGGGCAGTTTGCAGGTGACGTATGGGAGTATGATCAAGCTGATGCACGAGAAGATGAAAGCATTGGCTGCCCCGCATGATCTGATCTACTGCTCAAGCAGCGGCCAGCATTCCGTCACCTGGTTTCGCTGATTCAACTGGACCTTCCTTTAGATCTCATAAGGTAGTTCAACAACACAATACTCTCAACAGTTTCTTTGAATTTAAGGTGCAAATAGTCCTATTATTTTCAAGATTGAGCTAATGTGTATATGAGATGCATCTATTTTCTCATTGCAGTTTTCTGTAGAATAACCCTTTAGCACATAGCAAGGCCATATGCAGCTCAATGTTGGAAAACAATTGTTGGGAACATCGTTCATTTTCATCAGGCAAACCACAAGTTTCCATGGCCATTGGCTTCCTTGTCCATCAAGATTGAACACCGACGGGTCTTCCCGAGAGGTGTTCGCGAGCTTTTCGAGCGAAAAACAAGTGTCAGGTTTGTGTGACGGTCCTATTGGTCGACCTAGACCTATCTCTGTTGTATGATAGGTCGTGTGCAGCCTCGGGCATACTAGGCTTTGCTGATGTGTGATATAATTGGTGTCAAAAATATCCATTCAAAAACTCCACATATCATTGCATCATCATATCATGTAAAGCAGGACTTTCCTTTCATTGTCAATCACTATCTGATGAAATGGATGGCCTACAGAGGGTACTACAGAGGGTAGTTTATGCTGGTCTGGAAATTCTTATACTGGATTGTCACCATCAGAGTACTAAACTATTATTATTATTCTCTCTACAGAGGGTATATGCCGGAAGTTGTGATAGCGTTGTGTTCAGTCTACAGTACGTACACACATATGCGGCTCACTGTGCCGCCCCTTGACCTAAAAAACACATAATAATGCAATCCTAAATACACTAACCAAGAAGCTGCAATCACATAGCCACATAGGTACTAGTAGTAGATATATTGAACTAGATAAGGTCTTTTTCTTTAGGGAAAGAAGAAATTAAACTAGGAAAGCCAAAACAAGTCAAACCATTGGCTTTGCAGCAGGAGGCTGCAAATCCTGTGCGTGTACAGTGATTGATAGGGGATGATCTGTTTCTTTCTTGCTATTGGCTGATCGTGAATCTAATCATGAAGTAGTTATTAGATCTAGATCAACACAAGGGGTGATCTCGCCTAGGTGCAATGAACAAAGCACATAACATTATATTAGGGATCACAGACCTTGGAGTCCGTCGGCCATTGGTACAGTAGAGATGCGAGCGGGAGAACTAAGGAGGTTAGTGTTGTGGCACAGCGGTGTAGCATAGACCTTCAGGACACCAGCGGCATTGGCCAATCACCTTGGTTATGCCTGGAGCTGGGGAAGAAGGGTGGCAACATCATTCCAAGAAGGATTCTGTGGACATTATGTTGTTTCTCTTCTGTGGAATCGGGTTTGGTGTCGGGTTTGCTATCTCAGTTTTATTAGCATGGGGAATCTATGTTATTAGAAGGCAATCGTGAGAAAGGCAAGAAGCCTTATTGAATCATTATGTATGGTAAGGGAATAAATTTTATTGTGTAAGGGGTCTTCAATAATCAGAACTATTGCTATTGCTATTGCTATTAGTCTGTCCAGAATTCCTAGGGTTCATTTGAAACTGTTGTGTGGTTTCTGGGGCTATTTGGTTTCTCGCGAAGTTTGCCATGCCACACATGCAGCTGCCGCGTAAAGCTAGCTGGTATTTGGTTTGTGTGTAACTGTGAGTTCATTTTCTGTGTTGATTTGCCACAGTTGTGGCAGCCATTTTCTCCACTTTGCCTACGGCGGCGCCACAACTTGGCGTGGCAGGCGCTGGCCAGGGACTAAACAGCCACTCTATCTGTTCCTTTTTTTTTCCCCCGATAAGGGTTTGTACTGTACCTGTTACATGAGGTCTGTAACATGCATGCTGCTTCACTTGAAGCCTCCGTTCGTCACTGTTATGTGGATGGTACTTCAGGCATTGTCACTATATTTAAATTCAAAAGAAAAAGGAAAGGTACCATGAACAACGATAGCTAGTAAGTCGAATTAATTTCAGGCCTATAGCAGCATTTTGCTAGTGCAAGATGCCGAATTGGTGAAGGGAGGGGAGCTATAGTCGATACATAGCAGGGGTCTCCAGGGTTAGCTAGTGGCCCAAGAGTAACTGACTGTTCAGTTGGATCACATCCTCGCGAGCCTGCCTCTGCCTGGACGATAACTTTTCCTTGGATAACTGAATGTTTGTCCACACGGTAAGTCTGATGCGAAGAAACATAGAACCAGTTGTGCAGGACAAGAAGTTAAGAACCCTTTATTTATTCACCACTGCTACACACGGCAAAGAATTGCAACACGCGCCACCAACCAAATCATCAAAACACAAAGCTAGAATAACTGGGATCGGATACACTACACCACATCAATTTACTCCCCCCACCGTGCTGAGGGACGGATGCTAACAATGCATGGCGGCTCTTCTAAGAAGGACTAGTAGTGATTGAGAGCAAGCAGCATGGGTGTCAGACATGAGTATAGAAGTATGTGGCGCAAGCCCGGCAGTATCAACCACCCGGCGTTGCCGTGGCTGGAGCCTGGAGGACGATGTGGACTCGAGGCTGGTGCCCCTGTCCCCGCACTGCCTGGACTTGCTGCGCCCCGTCAGGAGACGTATTTGCAGCTCCCGTAACCTGCAATCGTCCATGATGATATATACATCAGAATTGCCACACATGATGATGGATATATATCAGTCGCAGTTCAGAGATCATTCAGGGTCCAATTCAGAAGCGAAGACAATCGTTCATGAACTTACTGGGGTCACTAGAGGTCACCACGCCGGTGCCCTTGAAGTCGCAGTCGTAGTCGTGCAGGCCATTGGCCTGGTAGTAGGCGTTCATCACGTACGAAGCGTGTGACTGCACGTTGTTGGGATCAAAGCAGGCGCCGCCTCTCTGGATCGGCTTACAGTCGATGTAGCCACAGGCGTAGTTGATGTTGTTCTGCAGGTCGGTTGCGCTCGCGCCCGACTTGGCCACACACCACTTGCCTCCGCCTGAGGGCGAGGGGTTTGGTGACGGGTTGGGGCTTGGCTTCGGAGATGGATTTGGCCTGACAACTTGATGGCACGCCTAAGATTCTTGAGTCACTAACACCTTGTCCACATGCTGGTGCACTTTGCCAGGGCATCAGCAAAAGCAACCATCCTGAAATCGCTGCTCATGCGGTCCTCATTCTTTGATTGGGCCATTGGGGAAACTACTCTCCTCATATGCGCACCAAAGTACATAGCTCAAAACAGAATAGAGGGCTACAAGGTTCAAAAGCTTGAGGTAATGCATAGAAAGCTAAGCTAGAAGGTCTGCTTTGCTTCCTGGTAGCTACTTGTGCATGGATGAAACCTTCGCCGATTCCATGAAGAAACAACAAAGTAACGCCAATGGATATGCTCATGTTTCGTGTATACTCGTACAACCCAGGTGAGAAGCTATTAAGCTACCCACAGGCCCTATCCATATACTATGTGCAGTGTGTGGGTGGGATAAGCACCATGCATGTGGTGCAGTCTAGAAGTGGACACAAATCAGAGAATTACCCAGCTGTGCCAGCTAGCATTAGCAAAGCAAGCGAGTAGAATTAGCCCTTATTTAGTTCTCCAAAAGTGCATTATGCAAAAGATTTTCCGTCACATCAAACTTGAGATACATGCATGTGGTACTAAATGTAGACGAAATCAAAAACTAATTGCACAGTTTGCTTTAACTTTGCGAGACGAATCTTTTGAGGCTAATTAGTCAATGTTTAGACAATAATTCACAAATACAAACGAAATGCTACAGTGGAGAATCGTGCACTATGCAAAGTTTACAGGTGCAAACTTTGCCGAACTAAACACGCCCTTAATGGTACGGCAGCATTGTCACCAAACACGGGTACTAGTAGCAAGCAACGTGTGTACACAAGATCTACTAATCAGGGTACTCTCTTTTTTTTCTTTTCTTGGGAGACTAATCAGAGGAGTAGTACTAGTAGCAGCAGCAAGCATACAAATTGCGGGAGGTGCCAAAAGCCTGAGCTTGCGGCATGGGATGCCGTCACTGGATCCATCGAGAATAAAATGGTTGCTATCTTCGAGGTCCTGCTTTGACCCCCCGCCGCGGCTGAAACCGCGTCCCATCTGCCTCCCCCTTTCTTTCTTTTCCGTAGCCAATATCGAATTCGACAAGAATGAAAGGAAATCTCGCAGTAGTACTAACTATAGATGGCCATCGGGTCGTGCCGGCCCGGCCCGGTGGCACGGCGTGCCGTGCCTGCCCGACGCGGTGTCGTGCCTCATTGGGCCACCGTGCCGGTCGTGCCGTGCCGCTGGCGTGCTTGTGCCTAGCCTCCGGCCCAAGGCACGGCCCGTGGGCCGTTTGGTCGTGCTGTGCCGTCCGATGGGCACAGCCGTGCCGTGCCGCCCACTGGAGTGCTCGAAGCTAGCTGCCGAGCTCGAGACGACGACGGCGTATGGAGATTGGAGAAGCCGACGGCCGCAGAAACGAGAGACAGAGAGAGAGGAGGTGACCTCGCAGGCCACGACGAGTCCCTAGGGGCTGGGGCCGGCGCGGGAACACGGAGCTCGAGGCGCTGGGGTCGTCGCTCTCAGCCGACTCCTCCAGTCCGGCGTCCACAGGGTGGGGCAGTGGCGTCGAGCTCATTCCCAAAGCATGAGCTCGGGGCTCGGGGCGGATCTGTGTTGAGGGAGGTGCCGGTCGGCCCGGCGGCAGGTGCCGTGCGATGGGTAGGGAGGTGGGGAGGGGCTGCGAACTGCGGCTGACGCGTCATGCGTCCCATCGCCCCGAGTCTGGTCGGTGGGGGTGGGGTGGGTGTGGCCGTGTGGGGGGCGTGGGGTGTTAGAGTTTGGGAGGGGGCATAGGTGTGTGGGGGGCTAGGCCTCTTAGCAGGCCGGCTGGCCGGGCCACCACCGGGCCGCCTCTTGGACCGGGCCGTGCCCGTGCCGTGCCATGGGCCTGGAGGGCGGCCCAGGTACGGCCTGGTGCCTCGGGCCGGGCCAAAACGCCGGGCCACGGGCCGGGCCATCGGGCCGCGGGCTGCATGTACACATATAGTACTAACCGATCCTCGACGAAGAGACCGAGGTCGTACTTGGGCGTGAAATCCGTGCTGAAGATGCCAAAACTCCGCTCCGCAACGGGGCCAGGCTTCTGGTTCTCATCAAACAGCGAGAACACGTACGTCTCGAACCTCCTCCCAGGCATCCGCGGCGTGCCCTTCCCGCCGCTGCACATCCGGATCATCCCACCTGCCCCGCATCCGCCTTGGTTGGCCACCCGGCCTCCCCGACCGCGATCTGCACGCCGCCATCGCCGTACCCGAGCTTCTTCATCGCCGTGTAGACGGCGTCCATCTGCGCGTCGAACATGCTCGTGTAGTTGAGCCGCGTCCCGGGGTCGTACACGCCGGCGTTGGGCCGGAACACCGCGTAGTTCAGGTTCGCCGCGTTGTAGCTGAAGTACGGGTACGCGTTCACCATGAAGGGGGAACCCGTGTCGTTGTGGAACCTGAGCATGGGGGCCAGGATCTTGGTGTCGAGCCCGGGGCGGAACCGCGCGTTGGACGGGATCCCGTCGGACGGAGCCAGGATCCCCAGGTAGTGCGGCGTGGTGACGAGGACGCCGGGGAGGTTCTCGAGCTGGAGCGCCTAGGAGAGGCGGCGCATGGCTGGGAGGAGCGCCACGACGAGGTCCGGGACCACGGTGGGGCCGAGCACCTCGTTGCCGGCGAGCAGGAGCGTGACGTTGGCGACGTGCGGGGACAGGTTGTCGCGGACCCACCCGCGCGCCGCGTCCAGCCCCGTGGATCTGTCGGCGAAGGACGGGAGCGCGGAGTTGGGGATGGAGACGGCGAGGGAGATGGAGGGCGCGTTGGCGGCGAACACGTCCAGGAACGCCGGGTTCGCGTCGAACAGCTTCATGCGGTCGATTGTGGTCTTGGTGGCAAGGAAGGATGCTACGGAGGCCGCAGGCGGGAGGTTGTCCGCGTTCGCGCCGTACTTGACTCCGATCGGCAGCGCCGCCCTGCGCCGCCGCTGGCCCCGCGCCATGGAGGAGGAAGGCGAGGAGGAGCGGGAGCATCGGGAGGCGTGCGCGCGTGGCCACTGCTGCTGGTGCCTCTCTGCTCTGCTCTGGGCAATGACGTGTGTAGAGGGGATGGAATGGATGGACGGTGATGCCCGTTGTGGCCTGTGGGTGGGTTTTGAAACCTCTGCGCTCGCAGGCTCGAGGCTGCTGCTAAATTCTCATTCTTTTATAGGAGTAATTAATTAATTAATGACGCTTGCCTAAAGCCCGGCTGTCTTTTGTGCCCGGCAGTTTCCTTTCCTGTCCTGATCTGCCCAATCCTGGTGCGCTTCTTGCTTCCTCTTGTTTCTTTTTTTAGATTTTGTTTATTTTTTGTGCTACCGCGAGTGTTTCCTTTTGTTGTATAATAAATATTACCATACATACATTGTAGGCATAATAATAATAATAATACATTCTACCAGTATGTTGAAACTTTTGAAAGAAAAATAAAGCTGACCAGCTGCCGTGTTCCCAATTTCGTATTTCCGCTTACTTTGAATTTTTTATCACGGACTTTTTTTTTTCCCCGCAATAAAAAGGACGGCCAAGCCCGTCAAAGCAGTCCAGTCAGGAGGCCCGGCCCAGACCAGCGGCAGTTCCTTCACAAATCCAGTGAATCCCGGTCACAGCACTGCAGTAATATAATAATTCCACCCGTCTCTTTCTTTTCTTGTCTTTTTCCTTCATCATTTATCTATGGCTGCTACTGCTACCGACACGTTGAAGCGGCGAGCACTGGCCAGTGAGGAAACAAAATGCTACAGCAATGTAGGAGTACGGATGTACTGCACCATACTAGTACTAATTATAAAAGCATTGTAAACGGTACGAAATGCGTGCTTAACAAATCACTCGTGGTCTCATTCTTCGTAATAATATCTCGTTAGGGCCTCTCTGGATCCTATACCCTAAACTTTACCATACTTAAGCTCAGTTTCGAGGTCCAAGGGCGTCCCCAGCAAGGCTCTTTGCGCTAGCTACTTGATGATGTGGAGGCGATAGAGTGGAAAATTTCAATCCGACTCCACGGTCCACTCGCATATGTTCTTTTCATTTTTATTTTTTTTATTCCGACTCGGTAGACGATTTAGATTTCCTTGTTGAGGACGTCCTAAAGCTGTGAGGTGGATTAAAGTTTAGAGCTAACTTTAGACCATCTGTCTAGAGACTTTAGCTTTGGTCCAAACATGCCCTTCGACGTTTCGGTTTTTACTACACAAACTATATCTGTCCAATAAAAAGGAAAATAGAGAGCGAGGGCCAAAAAAATTAGGAAATTCCAAAAAAAAAAGGGTTTCATGAAAGTTTGCATGTCTTCTTGAGTCAGTGCAGGCGTGGGAGCAAAAATAAATATTCGAAAGCTCCCAAAGTAATAACTAACCAAAGTTGTGTTATTTTTGAATCTCGATCCCTTATATTCCTGTGTGCAAATTGATGTAGGAGTTTTTTTTTCTTCTTTCCGAAAGGGAAGGAAAGGAAAGAAAACAAAAAGATTCACTGCTCTGAAAAGGTTTGCGAGGGCAGCGTGGCAGCATATTCGTCTTGTTGGCGCACATTTGCTCTCTTTTGTTGGGGTTTGGTTTGGTACGAGCTTGAATAATTTTGTGCATGCGCCTCGAGAGGAGCAATGGTAGTAGGAGCACTACTATGTACTACTCCGTTTCCTTTTGTGTACATAAAAATCATGTAAAAAAGAGCCATTTCCTTTTGTGTACATAAAAATCATGTAAAAAAGAACAGGTGACATCAGAGAGGGATTGTCGAGTCAGTGAGTGGGGCTTAGACGGATTTTACTGCTGTTTGCACCGCCGAACCGGACCATTTGATCATCCTGCGTTTCTGCTGTGCTGAGACAAACGGCCAATGGACCGAACGGAGATCAATGGCATCTGCTATGCTCGGCCCAGCCAAGCCCATCCACACACAGATATCCACCCATTCAAAGATCAAATCCATTCTCAACTCTTTAGTCTTAATAACATGTCCCAACGATTCCAGTCATCATTAACCTAAAACAGGAGCAGTACATCCAGAACAATTACCACTGGTACCATACCAGGTTTACAACCAGAGTCTTCAATCCCTCAGACACATACAAAGACACCATACAAAACAAGAACAATTACCACTAGTACCATACCAGGTTTACAACCAGAGTCGTCAATCCCTCAGGGCACATACAATGACAACCATACAAAACCGTCTCCACCCACCGACACGCCCATGCATTTCCATCCATCCATCCATTCCGAGCAACCAACCACCGGACTTAGCCCACATACACAAACAATCCACGGAGTAAAAAACAAAACATAGCCTAGCAGCAGAGATATCAAGAGTCTGGCAAACTGCCCCAATCACCACAGGGGGGAACCGGTTCCATCGCCACATTCATCAGCCGCTGATAGCAGGCGACGCCGACCTTGACCGCGACCCTGGAGGCGACATGGATGCTGGCCGGGGCGACCTGCGGCGACCACGCTGAGGTTCCTCGTCCTCCTCGCCTGCTGGGGACCTCTTCCTCCTGTTATGAACATACACCAAGCACTGTTACTACCATTCAACAAAAACACCCATCTGAAGCAGCTACTCCTGCTGTCTTCGTATAATGAATTCTATTACCATATAAAAAGAAACATCCGAATCGAATACCGATGAAGCTACTTGTATCAAACGGCAACCATACAGTATGGGCCAGCAAGTGACTCGAGATAAACTATGCTTCAACTCTATGTATCCCCTAAGATTCTAACTGGGAAACAAAGAGGGCCTTCTCCCTGCCATGATGCAATTTGAGACTCAAGATAATGCAAAGAATGAGCCTGAATATACATGTAATTGTGCGAGTGCAGTACAAGGGATTTCCACCATAATATTGCTCAGGAAAGGCATTTCACACCAAGTAAGCTTTACACAATTATTCAAACAAATAAAGACACTATTGCTCAAAGATATACTCCCTCTGTTCCAAATTATAAGACATTTTAGTTTTTCTAGATACGTTGCTTTTACTATGTGTAGACATAGTGTATATGTAAGTGCATAATAAAAGCCATGTATCTAGAAAAGCCAAAACGTATTACAATTTGGAATAGAGGAAGTACAAACTTAATGAAGGCTCCATACCCTGATATCCTTCAAAGAAGGACCACTTGTTCTTGGTCAAACAAATGTTCAGTGTAACAACCCTAATGATGTTGCATGTTACAGACGGGGAAAAATATTTCTCAACAAAATAACAACTCAATAGGACACACAACATTGCTACTTCAGAACATAACTAGATTAACCCATAGCCATGCACCCAACAGTCAAGGAACAGAACTTACTCATCATGACCGTTGTCTGCACCACGGCGATCATTTCTATCATCGGGAGTATAGGATCTCCTCTTCTTATCCCTGTCATTTTCTTTAGGCTGTTTTGATGACCTCGGGTGCTCTTCCTTTGCCCGGGGTGGGGAAGCAGAGTAGTCATCACGCCTTTTCGGGGCAGGGGAGTATGACCTGTAGTGTATATAAAGGTAACATCATTTCGATGAAGGTTACTGCTCTGGTACATCATGGTTGGTCCATTACTTATTCAAAGAGACTCAAGACTCAGCAGACATACTGTGATCTACCACGGCCACGGGGGCGTGGTGAGCGGGAACGCGAGTATGAACGAGAACGAGACCGTCCTGCACGTAAGGAAAGATAGCAACTTGTCAGTGCTCAAACAACTTCCGAAACCATCAATTTTCAGCAGCAAATTTTGCTACCAGCAGATGCAACCTTCAAACAGGCAAATAAAGATCCAAGGAGAGTGATACAACAGAATCTCATGAATGCCAATCACGAAACTTAAATGAACAAAACATCAGTTTTTTTATCCCCCCTTTTTTTCCTGATAATCAAACAGCAACAGTTGAACATGAACAGAGTAAATTTTTTATAAGAAATTACAATGCATACACAAGCATTCATCTCAAATAATAGGACAAAACAAAGCAAAAAACTTAGATTACCATGGCGATAAGGACGACGCCCTTCATGACCAGAATAACCTCTGCAGAGATACAACTTAAGTCATTTCAAATGAAACACAGATAGCGCTTCCAGAAAACCAATGCTTATTGGCATACCTTGGCCCAGTTCGTCTACGCATTTCCTCGGGCCTTTTCCGTGTATCCGCAGCAAGTACAACAGTTATTTCACGCCCAGCAAACATCTGACGGTTCATGTGGTACTGCGCCTCAGAAGCATCATAAGCATCAACAAACTCCACGAATCCAAACCCTCTTGGCTCCCTGAATGATCACAAAAGCCTTCATAAGTAAAATTCACAAAGTATGGTACTGGTAAACAAGGAAGAGGGCACATAACGATCATAAATAGTATGTGCCTCACGAGTTACTACCAGGGATTCATATTATGGTGAATCATTTATAGTTCTCCATAGAGCACAGCTAACAACTTACAAACATGTTCATCAAATGGTAGCAAGCCTCAAAAAGTGGTTAGGAGCCCTTAGATCCAAAATTTCTTGTATACACCTTCATAAAGTGATTTGCTTCAAGTTCTTCGAGTTTGAAAAGTCATGAAAAGTGCTTGAGACCAACTTGTCTTCATTATATCTTCACATGTAAGACACGGTAAAACCCTCTTCTCTTCAGGAAATTAACAAATCGAATCTTGTCTTGATAAAAGAACTTCATTCGCACAATACTCTATCTCACCAAACAAATGAACAATTAGGACTGTTCAGGGCTTGTATTTACTTCAACCACAAATACAGTCCTGAGAATAATTTCAAGAGAGTAATTCGTACCAGAAGAAAGCATCATCATATAATGTATATATATCCTATACACAGGAAATTAATTAGTGAAGTTCAACAGATGGTTGTATTACTAGTCTTGTTCCACATGTTTCACCTTAAGTTATCCTATGATGTTTTATATTATGCAGAAAGTGCATAAAAGAAAAAGGGAATGGTTGAG